TTCTGCCAATATCTCTTCCAGCTCTGGGGCCCACCAGACAAAGATTAGTTTGCCACCCACAGCAACTCAGTCTGCACGACTTTTTGCTCCCAGGCGGGCATTGGTCTGAACTCAGTCGGAGACGCACTGATGGTTCCCTGGACGAACAAGTTCTACGCGTGTCCTCCAGGACCTCTAATCACAAAATCAATCAAGATGATGCCCAAGGGATTCTCATCACGCCTTGGTGACCTGTCAACTGTGGTTTCCCAGCATTCTCCACCTCTCCGAGAACACTTTCCTTCATCTTCCACAGATTCCACATCTCACTCAACAAAGCGGTGCCATTCAAGTACTGATCTGTCATTTACTGTGAATTTGTTTTCACCGATTCCACCTGGGGGTGAACGGACGGTCTACAGCAGACTGGGGAAATGGCGGGCACTCAGCCCTTTATACTATGGGGGAGGGGGGATGCAGAGTTCCCACCAAAACCCTTAAAGCTTTAAATCTTTTCGGCTACAGACACTGCGCAGGTGCAGCACCCGTAACGTGTGAATGCACAGATGGCCATTCGAAGAATGACAGTTACAGGTAAGCAACCTGCCTTTCTCAAGCTTGCTTATTTATTTATTATTTCAATTTATATGCCATTATATTAGCCCACATTTGAGCTCTCTGAGTGGCTGTCAAGCATGCCCTAGGCTAGCCCAATTCCAAGGTACTGAAGTGCAGAGGCAGCTCAGTTTCCATGCTCTTCAGCTGTACCCAATCCTGCCTGTGACTCATACAGTGGCAGAGATGGACTTTTACACATTAGTAAAGCATCTTGGTACCAGTCTGCATGCCGCATGTTTCCCCAGGATTCAGAAACCTACATGATTCTTTGATCTTCAGTCTTTGATACTGACTTGGTTTGTATGACATGATGACCCATCATCGTGGGTAACGTGATATGATGGGCTTTTATGTTGTCCAAACTGTGAATGCTTCCCACAATTGGTTTATGTTTCTGCAACAAGCCACCCTGACCACCCAAGGCCTGTTCCAGGGCTTGTTTGAACCACAGTGCGTTGTTGTGTTGTCCATAACTAGAACAACAATTTTATTGTGGGTTACAGGGATCTGTTAGCATGTTTCTTGGTAAGAACAACCTAACCTCTTGCTGCTGTTGGCAATTTCACTCTTGCTGCTGCCAGTGACAACACTTCCACAGATGCCCAAGTGGCACTTTGGAGCAACTGCTACTATTTCACTTCACTTAAAGAAATAGCCCTAGAAAATTGTGCAGATGTGGTGGTTGTTGATGTTGTTATTATTTGCGGTGGTCTTTGCAAATGCACAAGTACACTCTTACCACAGTCTGATATGTGTAGTTTTGTCTGGTAAATTTCTTTGCATGTTTCAGTTGTCAAAGGGAGCAGTAAAGTGAAGTAGATAACATATATGGACATTAACAAAATAAGGTGATTCCAGAGGAAGGCTTCCAGGAAAGAATAGAGCCTGACTCAGCTTTGTGTTCCCTTTTTCTGAAATCCCACATGCAATAGTTTTCACCCACCAGACCCTTGTCAGAGCCAAGGAAAGTCTCTTTTCACTGCATCTTTTGGATTTGCTCCGCCACCAAGGATGCCTTGTCTGCCCCCAATCCTGTGTTTTGGACAAAATAGAAAAAATGAATGGTGAAGCGTTCAGTTTCTCCTCCAATCTTTCCAGCTTACAGTGCAGCAGTCCTCTTCTTTTCTTTTCCCTCTGCAAGCTGAAGCATTCACTCTCAGCCCCTGCTGCCATCTCATTTCCTCTACCATGCTTGTCTAGTATGGCGAGTGGCAAGGGATGATGGGAGTTGTGGGTCAAATCATCTGGAGAGCCACAAGTTGCCCCCTCCCAACCTAGAGTAAAGTTATACAGACTGCACACTTGTGTATTTTATTGAAACATATTAGCTGCCCTGAGATATTTTGAAAGGCGGAATACAAGAACTTTGAATGAATGAATGAATGAATGAATGAATGAATGAATGAATGAGCTGGCTAGCTAGCTTCTGGGCTAGCAGTCCCAGAGTGGCCTGCTCGTGGCAGCATAGACCCATGCTTGCAGCAGGAAGAGGTTCAAATAGTCCTCAAACAAAATTCCTGCTATGATTATTTTCCAGAATAACGTATTCCCTGAACATGGAAAAGTAGTTTGCAGGTGGGCATAGAGACATGTGCCCCAAACAAGCATTGTAACTGTCCATGATAATGCACTGTTCATCTGCAAAAACTTCCCATTCTGGACAGCCGTGACAGTCCCATAGAACTGTTTGAACATATATTTATATTATGCCCCCATGAGATGGGCCCCCAAATTTGATAGGCTTCCACCCCCCTTTTTCCTGTAGTTAGAATGTTTGGTACCCCCATAACCAGCCTGAGGCTCTTGCTTTGAGATTTGTGCTCAAGGGTATGAATTTATAATGCATCTTCTATTAGCTAAATAACTCTTTTACATTAAGTAGACACCAAATGTGGTACATGGAGATTTAATACATATTTATATAATGGCTCCCAATCATAGCAACCTCCTCATTCTGTTCTTCAAATTGAACATTATCCAGGACTCCTGCATTTGTCAGCTCAAAGTATCTGCTGTGAAACAGAAGGAAGAGTTAGAACTGACAAGCAATTAGTGCCAGGGCAAACATAATGTATAATTCTCATCTATGGAAAGCGCTTCAAAATTACTGCCCCACAAATTATCCTGACTGTGCCATATGGCAGGTGTTTGGCAGAGAAAAATAATAAGCATCCAAATACAGCATCCAACTAAGTACACGTGCAGTCCAAAATTAAGCTGCTACAAATGTTTATCACTCGCTCCCAAATGGATAGAATGTGACCATGTTCAGATGGCTCATATGCCTTGAATAACTTTGCATGTCATTCTCTGCTTCTGGGTTATTGTCCTTTTATGAAAACTTGGCTAGCAGAGATTATATGAGAGTTAAACAACACTTCCATAACCCTACAGCAGATCATGGGTTATGCAAGATTTGTTTAAAACTCACAGTAACACACACTGTCTGGGTTCACACATGACAACCCCGAAGTAGAGGTGACATATTTAACACAGTAGCTGCATGTTCTCCACACATGCTGCAGCCTCATTTTAAGTTAAATAATCCACATTTGTGCAAAAAGCCCCAGAGTGTCTTTAATGAAAGAATATGCAAACTATGGATTATATTTCCAATATAATCCAGTATAAGAAAAGAAAAAATCTTCAGAAGGCACCAAGTAAAGCAAATGTTCTTGGACCCTTTAGCTGCTCCTGAAAATCTATTCTCTGCCAATCCAACAGTATTTTCCATTGCTGCCATAGGTATGTTTTGTCTTTGAGGTTGCCTTGCAATCCCATTGTTACATGAGAGTTTGATGCCTACTGTAGTTGAAGCTTTTATGTTTAATGTTTCAAAAAGCCTTTGAAAATGATCCAAAACAATGCCCAGTACTCAGAACTTAATTGCTTCTTCATGGAATCATAAGATAATGGAATTGGAAGGGGGCAAAAGGCCATTGGGTCCAACCTCGTGCTCAATGCAGAGTTCCTGCCTAAAGCATCCCCAACAGATGGCTGTCTAGCCGCACCTTGAATGCCTTCAAAGTGGAAGAGCCCACAACCTCCCCAGGCAATTGGCTCCATTGCACTAACAGTCTGGAAGATTGTCCTGATGTTCAGATGAGATGTGGCTTCCTATAACTTGATCCCATTATTCTATGTCCTGTACTCTGGGATGATCAAGAGGCGATCATGGGCTTCTGTGTGACAGCCTTTCAAATACTCGACGAATGCTATCGTATCTCCCTCAGTCTTCTCTAAGGGCTAAACATGCTTGGCAGGCTTTGTTCTTGACAAATCCACATTGGCTTCTAGTAATTTCATTGTTTTCAAGGTATTTATATATCAATTGCTTTATAATCTGCTTCAAGGATTGCTTTTCCCAAGGACTGATGTCAGACTGACTAGTCTGTAGTTTCCAAGCCCTCCTCTCGGTGTCTGGCACATCACCCATCCTCCATGATTTCTAAAAGATAATAGAAACCAGTTGGGCAAGTTCTTTGGCCACTTCCTTTATGACTCTAGGATGCAGCTCATCAGGCCCCGGAGGTTAGAATTCAAAGGAATTGGGTGTTTGTTGACCATTTTCCTGTTTGTCTCAAACTGCAGTAGCTCCCCATCAGCTTGTACTTCTCCTTTGCCAGGGAGGTTGTAAACCCTCTTCTGAGAGAAGACTGAGCCAAAGTAGGACTTGAGCCCTTCTGCCGCTTCTTTGTCTCCTGTTACCATTTTGCCATCCTCACAGAGTGGTTGAACTACTGTTTCTTTCCTCTGCCTTTTACTATGCACATATCTGAAGAAGACCTTTTGTTGCTTTTAGCACTGCTTGCTAGCTTCAGCTCGTTCACAGCTTCAGCCTTTCTTGACACCATCCCTGCAATTGCATGTTACCTACCTGTAGCCAGACCTTCCTTCTACTTCCTGTACATGCCCATTTTTGTTCTCAGGTCATCTCTAAGCTTTCTGTGAAGCAGCACTAGTTTCTTCTGTTGCATTCTACCTTTCTTCTTGTTGGAATTGTTTCTAACTGTTTCTTTAAAAAAAAAATATTACCCAACTTGGACTTGTTTTCTCATTAGAGCCACTTGTCAAGGGACTTTACTTATCATTGTTTTGAGTTTATTAAAATTGGCTTTTCTAATGTCCAGGTATGTGTATCAGGAGTACACTCAGCTTTTGCTTCCTTTAGATTCAAGAATTCAAATATGGCACAGTCACTTTCCCCCAGAGTTCCTGTAACTTATATTTCACATTCCTCTTCACTTTACATTTCAAGCAGCAGGGATGAAGCCCGTCATATGGTACATCACAGTAAATTCTTGCCACATGGAATAGAATTTGTTTCATGGGAATGGTTTGTTATTTCTGCAGTAGTATGATTTGCACTGAATAATATTGTTATCATTGGTTTTTTCATGTAGAATAGCAAAAGGAAAAGAAGCAAATCCAAACAGCACCACCGTGGCAAAGATATGAAAGATAAAGATGATGGAGCAGAAAAGGTGTCTCTGGAATCCCAGGAGCTGAGTGGCAGCCATCTGGATGGATGTGATAAGGATACTTTCCTCAGCAATCCTACCAGTGAGAAATCAAAAATAATTTCACAAGATGAAAAGAGCTTGGAATACAGAGAAGAGACAAAACCAGAAATTGTAGGTCAGTTCACAGCACAGAAATCATGTATGTTACAGTGGTTTTGCACCCAGATACAAACAGCTTGCCTCATTTTTACCCTAGGGTTTTGTTTTCACTGGATGGGGTGATCTCCCATCTTGCTTTCCTCCTATTTGGACAGGCAGTCCTTTGCAGTCAGCTGCCCTGGATCCCACAAAGCTGACCTCTTTTGTCTCTCATTTCCTATTGCAAAGCATGCTTGTAATATGGCCTAAATGTAGCCCAGCCTAGCCTCCCATGAAATTTGTGTTCCAAACCCATATGCTTCCTCCAAGCAGCAGGTTGTGTGGCTGCAACCTATGACTGCAGCTGCTCCCTACCCTGATTCTTGGTCAACCCCTCAGTTATGCTGAAGGAATGTGATGTTCTCGGCTAAAATCGCATCAACGTTTTTAAAGTTCTTTGGTCCTCATGTGCTGCTGAAATGGTCTTAGCTACAGAATTCCAGGAATTATGTGTTTTCTGGCTGTGAGTAAGAGTGCATCTGCATTAGTTATTTTCTTTAGTAGTTTGTTCTTTGTTGGAGGCAACAAAGTCTATATCCAGCTGCTATAGTTGGCAGTATGATGTGTTTTGGCCCAATTCCCTCCCAACCTGCAGAGAGGAGCATTGATGATTGCCAGGGGTGATGTCTATTTGCAAGGGTGATGGAGCTACCTATCCCACCATATCCCTCTAACAGTGATCTCAACTCTCCAGGTGCTGGGTCTTAGGTAGCCAAAAAGACACCAGCCACTAAGCACAAAATGGAGGCATCAGCAGGCTCAGGAGACACCTAGGAAAAAAGACGTAACTGTGAGGAACCCAGTGCAGCTTAATAAAGACGGGCATGCCCAGTGGCCAGCCACTGCTGGTTAACTGTTGGAGAGGAATGGAATGGAGTATACTAAAAGAGGATAGGTCCAGCCAGGAGCACTCCACAGGGCCACAATCTGCTGCAAGTGACATTTGTCTTACATGGAGAAGAAAGTTCTCCCGTGTCTCTGTAGTGGCAGAACATAACTACCCAGGGGAAACGTTACAGCGGCTGGGTGGGAGTGGTATTTAAGATGGCACCCAAATAGACTTGTCCAAGCGTCCCGTGTAGATTTGGTTTTATTTACTTACTGTATTTTCATCCTGGTTTTCAGACAATTACTGTCTTCCAAAGCAGCTCACATCAGTCAGACTTAGAGTGGCCCTGCCATCATGCTTAGAGACTGAACAGATAAGACACGCAAAGGAAGCTATTTGAGATACTATGTGCCCTTCAGGCCAGGTGGATCTTCTCTTGCTCACATTCTTGCTTGAATGAGGCTTTTGTCCCTTAGAATGAGGCTGTTCTTTCCTCCTCCTCCTGCTAAATAACTGTTGGTTGAAGCTGAGCATTATTTCTGGCAGTAAGCACTGCAGCTGCCACTGGATAGGGCAGGTTGGTCCCCACCCTTCTACCCCCCAGCCCTTGGCTTAATGTTGCTCCTGGGAATCGGGATGCAGCGTCCCAGTGATTCTGGGTCCTCTAGCTGATGGCAAAAGCCAGAACGTACTTCCCTTCTGCCTCCAATCCTAGGGCAGCTGTGAGGTGGAGCCAAGTCTTTCTAGCAGGGAAGGCATTGCACTCACAGATGCTAAATGTCTAGAGATGCTAGGTCAATCATTTAGGCATGCACAGAAGTAAATATAATTAAGGGATTCTTCATGTTAAGATCTAAATTAAGAAAACATGTAAATTTTAAAAATTATGAAAGAAAAATGTAAAATAGCATGGAGCCTATGACTACATAAATGCTAGTCAAAATCCTTTTAAAGATTGTTGTTATATAAATACTAGGCCTGAAACAAATTTCCTTGAGGCTTAAGGAAGACTTTGAAGGTGCTGCCAACCTTTGGTTGACATATTCTTCTAGCCAAACATAACAGCTATGTATGTAAGTCTTGTATCATAAAGAAAATTCTGTCCCAGAAGAACAAACATACAGACTTGAGTGGAAAGATTATTGTTCTAGCTAGCTAGTGGTCAGCCCTCCCACATAATAAATAGACAGGGCCCAAAGGACCCAGAAGGGATTTCCCTTTGTGGTTTTTTTTACTGGGTAAAAGAATCTGTAAATGAATTAGCAGCTCAGTTCTTTGAAAAAAAATGTTAAGCTGAGATCTTAAGGTAGATAACTAAGTTTTTTATTCACTAGACTAAACTAGCCTCATCCAACTGGTATTTATTATTGATTCAGTTAACAGGTTTTCATTCTTATCTTTCCAACACTATTCAAAGTGACTAACAATCTAATTATTAAAACTGTAAAAGTACAATATAACTCAAAAGCAACTAAAAATATTATAAGCACAGCTGAGTAAGCCAATAAAATAACTTCAAAACAAACTTGGAAAAGGCCACTTAAAAACATTTCTGCAGCAGCATCTATACCAATATGAGTCTTGTTCGGTAAACAGACAAATGACACCATTCATGCAAACAAGGATGGAATTAGGAAGCTTAGGGGAACATAGGAAAAAACAGTAGGAAGGAGATGCAGTTTGGGCTACTCTGTAAGGAATAGGGATAGAAGAAACAGTTTAAAGTGGAAATTTTTTTGAAGGAATCTTCTGTGAGCATCACATTGTAGCTTTAGAATTTTCCGCTGAAGTATTTACTATGTAAAATATGTATACATTGCTTCTGATTCACAGAATCCTATTGTATATAATTAATTATGGAATAATAATATACTGTAAGATATAGTAATATTATATATTATAAGGCTCTGGAAGAGAAGGCTCAAAAGAATTTAACAGTTGTGAAAAGCCAGGGTAAACAAGTAGGCTTTTAATAAATGTCAAAAGTGCATAACTGTTGGTGCCTAAGAGAAGGTCATTCCATTGCAGTACTTATGGGGGGGGGAAAGCTTTTAAGGGAGTGATTCTGTGCATGTTTATGCATCAAAAGGCCAACAATTCCAGTGCTTGGTAGTTGCAGGACTACTTATGTCTAAAAATGCACAGGACTTCACCCTAAGAATTGTTGTAAACTGTCCAGAGAGCTTTGGCTGTTGGGCAGCATAGAAATTAAATAACTATATAAATAAGAATGCAACAGTGTTGGGGATCCAGGATATATTTGAGCTAGCAGTAAATGTTGAGGCCAAAGATCTGGTCATTTCAGGAGGCTCTTGCCCTGTGGTCAAATTCCTCTGCCCAGGCACGCATTGTGTATTGTTAACTGGTGACTTAAAGCAGTCTTGCCTGTTTTTTAAAAGCACGTTTTTAAACAGTGCATGCACATTTATTTACTCACTACATGTACATTCATGAAAAAGAAGCATTTTTAAAACCATTACAGAACTGCTTCTTTTGGGGATTAGGAAAGTATGTTTGCGTAGCATCCCTGGTGCAGTTGTATTGTTAATTAATGAGAGTTGTGCTATCACATTTGTTATTTTTACAGTTGCTATGGTTTTTAATTTAACTGCATTTTAGCTGCCCTGGAACAGTCGTTATGAAGGGTAATGTATAAATGCCTTAAATAACCAAATTAGCCAATCAGCATGTTCCACCCCTAGATTTCTCTGCAGACTTTAAAAACAGAATAATTCCACTGGATTAAATGCAGCAATGACTTTCAAACTGGTCTCATTGCTCTACACATGTACCTACCCTTGGCACTTAGATTTTGGCTGCCTTTCACGTGTTTTCAGTGAGAAGTTTTCGATATACATCTATAGATATAAACCAAGGCATTAGCTGGAAATGACAGATGTGCTTTTGGATAGCTTCTGAAACTGCCCTTTGTTATAGGTTATTTTTTCATGAAAGACAATGAGTTCCTAGCTGTTTCCAACTCTTAGCTGACCTGTCAAAGTAGTAGGGTTTTTTTATTTTTAGAAAAGGATTTTGTTTTAGTATGAACTTCTTATCCTTTGGGGACTTGAAAATATCAAGGTGCCTGGGAGCGGAGTGGGTGGGTGTGGGGGAACCGGTCAGTTCCACCATGTGACAGTTTACGATTTAGAGCAAGATCCTTTGAGCTCATTCCATCATCATCTGGTCTGATAAATGTTCAGTCCGTAATACACTAGAGAACATCTCAGAAAGTGCTTCAACCGCATGTGATAAGACTCTAAAGTATTTTCTTCTAAGACTTGAGACACCAGCAATCCAGCCTTCATCCATATCACTATACTAGCAGTTGCTTTTAGGAACAGAAAAAGATCTAGGAGACCCAGACATCAGTGTCCTGTTTCACATGCAGCTTTGTCCTTACTATAATTCTTAATCTACATTGATACCTGTATTCAGTAAGCTCAGATGAATTTTGTGAAAGCCCCCAAACTGAGATTGTTCCCCCATTTTTCAGAGGTACACAATCCAATGCTGATGATATTAAGGTGACTTGGCATTCCCTGGTTGTGTCCCTGAGGATTTTATTACTTTTTTCTTTTTCTTTCCCTCTTTTTTTTTTTGTTATAGCTCTGGACTAGTAGTAGAAAAGTACTGCAAATGAAATCCATCTAACCTGGTCATCCCGAAATACCTTTTGGGTCATCTTGATTGCTGAAAATGAATGCGTAGTAATTTCCTGAATGAGACACAGCAAATCCTATCACTGTGGATGTACCAATTCTCATCATTCTTTTAAGCTGCTGAAAAATAACAAAACTAATTTTTACTCATGCAGATGTTATAACTTCTTTCCATAATTTAATTTCTTAACCCATAAACAGTGACTTTACTAAGGGCTTCCTACCACATAATTACTTGTACTTTTTCTCTTTTAGCAGACAAAAAGACAGAACAGAAGAAAGTATCTACAAATGCAGACCAAAAATATGTAAATAGCACAGAGTTGCCTGATACTTTTCAGCCCTTGCCCCATCCCCCTTGCAGTGTTGGTCAACTGAAGGCAAAAACACCCACTGTGAAGTCACCTGTCATTGCTTCCTTTCCGGAAATAAAATCAGGAGATTCAAACAAAAAAAGAGGTAAAAGAGATTTTGTTTACTTTCTGTTGTAATCCAGCGAATGATTGTTATCGTTTGAAAGGCTTTTATTGGTATTACATGCAGCATAGGTATCTAGTTCCAGTAGCCTTTAAAAGAGATATCACATATAAATATTATTTTGTCTACTCTACAAGGCAAATGCTGGGAATGAAGATATTTCATGCCTAATAGCTAGCAGTCACTGGGAAAGCTGATGCTCCCAGTCACAGGGTTTCTCAAAGAGTTTCATTGTGAACCTTCTCTCAATAGCCTGTTGGTCAAATCCAATGTCATGTGGAAAGAAGGGAATCTGCAGGAGTGGATTTCCTTGCATGTTCCTTCCATCAGCATCTCCCCCACTCACAAAAAAAGGAAGGCTGTATGGAGAACTGGGGGTTAATATGAAAATCATGCACTGGTTTCATTATAGCTGACATTTTTTGATATGTTCAGTGTAAAACATCACAGGCTGAACACAACTTTAAGATAAAAACTTCTGCTTGACTTTTAGAAATGCTTTTCAGTATGATGTCACACCAGAGGTAAAATTTTGATCTTTTGTGGTGACAAATGTAGTGCGTACAGTGATAAAGAAATATTTTAATGAAAAACAGATTAGTTTCATTGCAGGCCACATAAAAATATTAAAAGGATGGTAAATGTAACCCTGGGTGGCTGAGACATGCTGAGAGTTGAAGGCCTTCCATGCATAGGGTTATATCTTTAACCAATCTAAACAACACAGGGCTTTCAGCAAGGTTGAATGGGCATATTTATGGAAATTTTTGGAAACATGTAATGTCTAGTGACATTATCCTTATCCCTGTTGAGGGATAAGGCTCTAATAACAAAAAATGCAGCTCAGAATCAATCCCCACTAAAAGGGATAAAAGATAAGCTATTGTTCCAAGCCAGGTTCTCCTGCTCACAATTCCAAAAAGACAGTTCTTCGGCAAATAGCTCTATATTCACCAGTGCACTTCCAGTAAGTATAACCAGCAAAGAATGGGTCTCTGAGCATGCACAGAGCCATTTGTTGAACTCAGTCTAGCATCTACTTCCAAGAACCCTCCTTTTGAGGAAGTCTGGGCCCCATCCCTCTGAGAGGGCCCCCTCTAAGGCGGACTAGCCTCTTCTCTGTACGCTGACCTTCTAGTTGGCTTGTCGGACTCTCCTATGTCATGGGGTCAGGAGCCGTAACAGCCTCAGCTGGCTCCTGGAGTTTTTGCCCACATCCCCTCCCAACAGCTCTAAACGCTGTCTTCTCTTAGAGTCTGCCTGAACACCTGGAGACAAGCGCCTCTGCTGATCCCTTTTCGCTGTCTAGAGCCCCAGTTTCCCAGACTTTCCCCCCACCTGCTCCACCTCTGATGAGTCCAGATTGGCATGAGCTGGGAAGGTGCAACAAGGAAAACTGCCCTTCTCATTTCCAGTAGCAAATCTCTTTGGGCCTTTTATATTATCCGTCAGATCTCCATAAATGCCATTTAAAAGAAACTGTAAATGAAGAAAACTTAGAACTTACTACTTGTTGGTTGACAGTAGTCAGACAGATAATTGGTTTTAACTGGAAATTGCCTAAGCCCTGACTGGTTTTGCAGTGGTGCAAGCATTTGGACACTGGCTTTTGAAAGCTAAACTAACTTATTATAAGAGATCTGAGGCACAATCCTGTGCATGCTTGGACAGAAAAAAGCCAACAACTCCCAGCATGCGCAGCCAGCCCTTAAGGAATTATACCCCACAACACAGTTATTGAAAAATGGATCTTGATTATAAATTACTGAAATGCACATTATCAAATGAATATACAGCCACTTGTACTCTTCATTTATATGAGTTTAATGCTTAAAAATTGAATCCAGTGTTTTTATTTTGCATTCTTGCAGGCTTTCCCACTTTTTGTGCTGCATTGGCTGCATTGGATTGGCTGCATTTTAATTTTCCACACTTTAAGATCAGATCTGACACCAAACTGGTACTTGATCCCTGTTTGTTCTTACAGGCCCAAATATTGAAAAATCTGTAAAAGATCTCCAGCGCTGCACTGTGTCACTGACAAGATACCGCATGATGATTAAAGAGGAGGTGGATAATTCAGTGAAGAAGATCAAAGCTGCCTTTGCTGAGTTACACAGCTGGTAAGTCAGTGAGGCACAAGGAAGTCAGGTGAAGTCTGTTCGGGAGTGCAGAGAACAAGATCCAGCACTCCCTGATCTTGCTTGATAAAGCAGGCCCAATGCCCAAGGCCTTTCTGCACTTTTCATTCCATTACTTATTGGCTGCTAGAGAAATCAAATTCAAGCACCCACAAGTGAGATTTTGCCCAAGGGGTAAATACAGCTTAGAAATCCCCATTATTGTTGGAAAAAATGGCAGCTATGTCACAATAGTTTTTATTGCTCATAAAATGTCTTCCTACAATGTACTACCCAGTGTTGGATGGCAAATGAAAGTGTAAAGCAAATCATAAGACTATATATGAATAAGGCTAGATATAGAAATGCACAGAGCAGAAAATCTAACAACTCTGTCTTGAATCATTTTCCACCATTAACAAAAAAGTTACTGAGGGCTAATCTACTTGTGTAGGTTTGTTTGAACTCAGAATTACCGTAGTCACAAAGAGTCCGATACTAACAATCCAGGAAATGGCTACTGAGGGCTGCTGAACCCTCCATGTGCAGGCTGGTTCAACTCCTCACTGTTCACTTCCCTTATCTGAGTTTAGTGGAAGCAAAACATGCCGGGGGAGGCAAAAAAAGCAGGAAAAGCAAGAACAGCTGTCAGAGGCTACCATTTGGCAGTAGGGAAGGGGTAACACCTCCCTCCTCTCTCCCCAGTCATTTAACAAGGTATCTGTAGCTGCTTTTGATTTCAAAAATGTGTTGGGAGAAACATGGGCACAATTGCCTGCCATATCTTGTTTGACCTGGGGAACTTTCACAGCAGGAAATGTTCAGTTTGTTTATATTTCATTTCTGGTCTGACCCATGGCTGAAGCTCTTTGCATGGTTAGTTCTTTAGCAGCAGAGTGCAGAGGGTCAATGACAGAAGCACTGTCAGGAAATTTTACATCTGCTGCAAGCTTCGTAGTTCATAACAGCTTCTGATAGAAACAAGTGTTTTTGAATGCGTTGTCTCCACTTTCCAACTTGTATTCTTTTTCCCCACTGCCTCTTAGTAGTCACCTGCTCTGTGGAAGTTTCTCTCTAATCTAGGCCTTGTGCTGCAAAACCCCACATGTGTGATGCACAGAGACCACGATGAAGAACTGGTCATTTCCCTTCCCTTTACATAACTCTGTAGGACAGATGCTTAGTCTGTACTACTGTAAGATAAGGATAAAGCTTCAATTGAGCTTTGAAGGTGCCAGCTCTAAAAACAGAACTAAAGAAGTGTGTGAGAGAAAAAGTTTAAATATAAAAACATGCCATAATGGGGTGTTTGTGCATGCACACATACAATTCTTGCTTGTAGCAGAGTTACATTAAATTTGCCGGAGAGATGCCATCACCATGCATGCGGCTTCTGATGACCAGCTGTGGGTGTGATGCATCTATAGAGGTTAGTACAGCCATAGGAGACTCAGGTGACCCAGTTGCCTGACTTATGGCAGGTTGAGTGAGGCTTCAAGTGCAAAATGCCCCTCTGGAGGGTCCAGACACCCGCCTGAAGAATGCGGGCTGTGCCTTGGGGGGGGGGAGGCTGAAGAGTTGCATGAACAGCCTTCCGTTCCTGCAATTTTGCGTACGGCTCATCTTCTTTGTGGTAGAATAAGCCCCACTAAGCACACTGTGGCTTACGTCTGAGTAAATATGCAGAGGATAGCACAGCAGGTTAGTTTTTATACTGCAAATTATTGCTTCCTTGTGAATTAGGAGTGTTGGATGAGTGTACTAAACAGAAAATATTTTGGATAGAATGTCTAAAAATGTAGAAAGAATACAAAGATACAGGCCTTCGAACATGTCTTGCTAAGAAAAACAAGTTTGGACATTAAATGTAGACTTATGCTCACTCAGAGAGAATTAAAAAGAAACATTGGTTCTTCGTCATGGCCTCTGTGCATCATACATATGGGTGCTGCACCTACACAGTGCCTTTGTCTGGAAGATTGAAAGCTAACGGTTTTTGGCGGGAAAAAGCTCCGCTCCCCCTCCCCCTCTAGCCTATAAAGAGCGGAGCATCCGCCATTTTGTTCAGTCTTTGCGACCTTCATTCACTGTGCCTCGTGCTGCTTTCACTCTCACTCTGACCATTGCTCATCTTGTTCGTTCTCGATTGTTCTTCTCTCCCAGTTATTACAGTCCTGATAGTATTAGTAGTTCTTGTAGAAATTCTTGTTCCTCTTAATAGTTCTCTGTTTTTTCTATCGTTGCAACTCTCTTTCGATCTTCTATAAAAAATATATATACCAAAAATATATTCTTACCCTTTGCACTATCTTCTCCTTTTCCTTTTCTTACGATGGCGCAGCGAGCGGCTTTCCGCAAGTGCGCGGAATGCGGGTCTAAGATGTCTCCTATAGACCCGCATGACCTATGCCTCCTCTGCTTGGGGGAAGGGCATAGGACCGATAAGTGTTCTCACTGCCTGGCCTTCTCTAAGCAGGCCAGGAAAAATCATGAGAACTGCCTACAGAGGCTTTTGTGGGATCGGGCTCTTCTGCAGTCTAACCCACTAGTCACCACTCTGAAGCCTGGCTTTTCCACTGCGCCTCTGCCCTCATGCCCTTCGGCTCCACCCTCTCACCCTTCGGACAAAAGCGCGTCTACCATGGGCGCTCGGCCTGCTTCTCTGAAGAAGAAGCATGAGAAGCGCAAGCATGCCAATACTGACAAATCGGCAGACCACAAGAAGGCCAGGAAGGAGAAGGCTCCGAAGCCACCGAAGAAATCTAAGGATCCGGAGCGTCCCAGGCATCGTGACTCGGGTTCGACGGCCCCCTCGGTACCGACGGCAATTACCGTATCGACTCCACCTGACCCGGTCCTTCAGGCAGCTATGAGGGTTACCCCTCAAGGGTCCCCTCACTGTGTGGCTGACCTTCCTGCGGAGCCTCTCCCAACTCTACCACGGGAGTCAATTTCTGATGGGGAGATTCAAGATTCTCCCCCTAGGGCTAGGTCTCCCACACCTATGCCCGCAGCCACATTGGAGGCAGATGTGGAAATGTCCCTGCCTAGGAGCCGGAGTCATTCCATCGAACACCATTCGGAAGGATGGTACCATCCCTACTACCAGGCCTGGGGCGATCCGCATTCCGTCGGATACTACCCTGGTCCCAGGGGTCGATCTTCACCACCTCCTTGCGACCGTCCGCTGTCCTCGGGCCTGAGGCTTGTGTCCCCAATACCTCCTCGGGATGAGAGTAGCCGGTCCTTCTCTCTGGCTGAGTCCTCTTCATCGGTTCCCCCGTATTATGGTGCTGATTCCGACGATTCGGAGGTCGATTCTACCTCCTCAGACGTCACTGTGACCTCCTAAGGCCCTGCGTCACCGGATGAATCGCATGTCTCCTTCTCGTAGTTGTTGTCCCGCCTTGTCCAGTCCCTTGAGATCGATGCTGTCCAGCGTCCGGGACCAAGTACGGACAAGTTTTATGATGTCGTCCATGGGGAACAATCTACATCGATTGTCCTGCTGCTGATCACCACCTTGCAACAGGCAATGATGCAACCCTGGGACTTGCCCGCTCACACCCAAATGATTTCACGGAGGTACGAATCCATGTACCGGGTTCGGGAGGAGGACATACTCTTCCTCCTCCGCCACCCCAAACCGAACTCGGTGGTGCTGGAGTCCTCCCAGGGCAGAAAGGCAAGAGGTCACACTGCACCGAGGGACAAGGAGGGACGGAAGATCGACTCCCTGGCCAGGCGAGTGTACGCTGCCTCTGGCCTAGGGCTGAGAATTTCCAATTACGAGGCGACGCTTGCGAGGTATCAATACTTCATTATGCAGCGCCTCCATAAGATCGTCTCAGCCCTCCCAGACCACCAGGGTGACCTGGCTAAGGTCTTCGTCAAGGAGGCGATGCAAGTCGTCGTCCAGCAGTTGTCCACTGCCCGACATCATGTGGACACAGACTCGAGGGCCTTGGTCGGTGCCATCTCCCTCCAGAGGCATGCCTGGTTACGGAACTGTAACTTCCCAGAGGAGACAAAGAGGCGAATAGAGGAAATGCCCTTCAACGGGTCCAGGCTTTTCCACTCGAGGACCGACCACAAGCTAAAGAAACTCCATGAGTCTCACATGACGGCACAGAGGATGGAGCTACAGACCCAGACCAGGCATAAGTGGTCATGGACCCGTCCATCTTATAGGCAATCATACCAGCCTCGACAGCAGCCTCAACACCGGCAGCAGCAACAGCAACGCCGCTGTCAACAGCCTCCGCAGCGATATCAGCAGGGCCGTCGTCGTTTCGATGGAGATAGGAGACAGCGTTGATGGGACAGGTGAACCACTCCTCTGATTCCTTCCATACCCACCCCCCTCTCATCTGGGGACCAGCTGAAAGGCCGACTCCCCATTTGGGAGTCCATCACATCTGATCGGTGGGTATTGTCCATCATACAGCACGGCTATCGGATAGAATTCAACATCGTTCCTCCATTGAGTCCAATCTGGTTTACATCATGCTTGCCGGTTGCTCGATGAAGTCCAACAACTTCTTTGTAAAGGAGCAATTCGACAAGTGGCCCCGGCTGACGGTCCTCATGGATTCTAATCCAGATATTTTACGGTCCCGAAGCGGGATGGTGGTCTGCGTCCGATCTTGGACTTACGCAATCTGAATCGATTCATCGCAATGAAAAAGTTTCAAATGACCACCCTTCAAAATATTCTGCCGCTGCTAAGGAAAGAGGATTGGTTCGCCTCATTGGACTTGAAGGATACTTATTTCCACATTCCCATTCACCCGAATTATAGGCGCTTCCTTCGTTTTGCTGTTGCATCCCAATTATTCGAATTTACAGTTTTGCCTTTCGGACTGGCCACCGCTCCAAGAATGTTCACCAAATGTATGGCCCCTGTCTGCGCTTTTCTACGCCTCCAAGGGGTACAAATTTACCCTTACCTTGACAACTGGTTGCTGGTGTCCCAATCTAGGGAAGGACTTCTCACCTCCATC